GCGCTGGCGCGGGCGGCAGAACCGCGAGAAGCGCTTCACGTTCGTGCTGGCGGTGGTGATCGGCGTGTTCGTGGTGTGCTGGTTCCCCTTCTTCTTCACCTACACGCTCACGGCCGTCGGCTGCTCGGTGCCACGCACGCTCTTCAAGTTCTTCTTCTGGTTCGGCTACTGCAACAGCTCGCTGAACCCGGTTATCTACACCATCTTCAACCACGACTTCCGCCGCGCGTTCAAGAAGATCCTCTGCCGCGGGGGTAGGAAGCGGATCGTGTGAGCACGCTGCCCACACCCGGCTCACAGACTGGCGCCAATCGCAGGCCCTGGGCATCCAGGGGAGCATCTTCACATCAGCCCTAGCACTTTGAATCCCAGGCCCCGCCTGCTCCGTGTGCCCTGGCCTGGAGGGTGCTCTGGGCCTCCTGCGGACATTTGTTCCACAAGGGAAAAGTTCAGCTGGTTGGGAAGGCCACATACACCCTCAATATTTGTTATGGCCTCTCCTTACCTGGAGAGATTTTTTTTTTTTTCCTGGTGGGACGCTCCTAATCAGTATTGTTTCCTAAAGGTTTTTTTTACCCTCCCAAGTTCTCCCAGCTCTTCAGAGCAAGCACAGGACTCCAGGGGGCAAGGCTCCCAAAGGATTAATGAATGGGGGTTTCCCAGCCCTGGTCTATTGCTCCTCTCAACCCATAATTGTCTATTTTTAGAAAAAACTCTCAGGGCAGCCCTGCCCGCCCACCTCACCCCCACTGTAAATACACACTATTTTTTGATAGTATACCCTGGGGTCCCTCCCCAGTGTCATGTGGCCTTGGCTGTGATGTTGAAATCCTGGTTGTGGAGATGCCCTCCAGGCAGACACAGCAAAAGGCCCAGCCGCTTCGCCATGCAAGCCCTCTTCTAGTGTTGTTATATCCCTCTATGTCCGGTTCACCAGCAACTGGTGACTGTCTTTTGGACGTGGATCTGCTTTGAGATTTCCTGACAGGGAAAAGATTTTTGTCCATTTTTTTTTCCTGTGCCTAACAGCATAATTGCCTTTTCCTATATAAATATTACAAGGATGGACCGAGACAGAAATAAGTGAACCTCTCCGCCTTGCATCAGTCCTGTATAAAGCCATTGTCCTCTGAGGCACACTTGGCCCCAGAAACTCACTTTAAAACTGACTCTTTCTGGTGCCCCATCCCTCCCCTGGGGGCCACTACTTGAAGAAGAATATGTATGTTTCTATCTTGTATGTATGTGCCCCTCTCCCAGAAATCGCTGACTTAGGGGAAATCTTTTGGCTGCTGTTTTTAGTCACAGAGGAGTGGAAATTATGTGGAAGAAGCAAACCTGATACAATTTGCCCAAGGTAAACAGTTTGAAAAGACAAATGGGCCTGCCAAACTGTACAGATCCTGCCCCAAGAGCTCTTAGGTATCAAAGTGTTGTCCTGTCTGCTGCTTTTCTGGCTGAGATCATGTGGCTGATGAACTGCCAAAGACAGGGGAGGAGGTGGAGATTTCGTGTTTACATCCCAGTTTCTACATGTTTTAGATGGAGACAATTTAAGGCCTGCGCTCTTATTTCACTAAAGAAAAACTAATGTCAGCACATGTTGCTAATGACAGTGGATTTTTTTAAAAAAAAATAAAATGGTTTACAGATCAAATGTGAAATAAACATGAATTAAGTGATCCTCCTGTCTGTTATCTGAGTTTTCGAAAGCTTTAAGACTTTGGGAACACCCAATTTCATGTACATTATAAAAGATGTTTAAATGTTTGAGCAATAACAAAACTATCATTGACTAAGTATTCTTATGTGCTGGTCACTGTGGGGAGCCTATTATAGACACTCCTTTATTTAATCTTGCCCAGAACCCTATGAGGTCAGTTCTGTTATTATCTTCATTTTACAGGTGAAGAAACTGCATCTCAGAGGGCAAATGGTTTGTTCAAGGTCAACAACACATGGTGGAAATCCATGATAGCCAGCTTTATCGGGGTGCCTATGCTCTTCACCCCAGAGCCTTTCCAGAGCCAGTGCTGACTTCTCAGCATGCCCCTAGCATAGTCTCTTCAGAGTATGCTCTGCACTTGGGTGGGATATATTCCAGTGTAGATATGGTGTGTGTATACCCCAAAGTATATACATACCTCAAAGTGTATATCTAGCCTAAAGTGTGCTATGTATACGCAAAAGTGTGAAATATACTCTGAAATGTGTCATCATGCCTTAAGGTGTGGTAATGGACAACACGTAGTATATTTCCCATAGCAAGGTATGAACAAGTGGAATCATATTATTTGATGGCTCAAATTATCTGTGGCCAAAGGCACACGTCTTTCTGGTTGCCTTTTGGTAGCATCACGGTCTGTTCTGTTCCTCACACTGTGGTTGTGGCACTTTGAAGCTGGGAGGGCCTTAGAGATCCAGGAATTCAGCCCCTTGTCTGATAAATAAGGAAGCAGGCCCTAGAGGAAGTAGGATCCTTGCTCAGGATCCTTATAGCCCTGGGTGACAGGGTGTTGGCTCAGGCTGCTTTGCTGAAGTCCAGCCACCTACAACATGCAAGCACCCCAGTTCTGGATGTTCTCAGAAGCAGGTGCCATACACTTCTGGGCAGTTCATGAGGCATCTCCTCATCTTTCAATTCTTTGGTGGAGTTGAGGTGTGTGTGCAGGGGTGGGAAGGTGGAGACCCCTGAGAGGAGATCTGGGCACTCAGGAGCCTGGGAGAGGGAAGACGAGAGGGTTTTTAGAGGCAGGAAGGAGTTCCTATCATGACTTAGGTCCTCTGAGCCCACAGACAGGAGGGCAGGCAGGCACTCAGCTCCAGTGACCCTTGTTGAGGGGCTTCACAGACCAGCCTTCCAGCCTGTGGCGCCAAGGCTGGCTCCCTTGTCTGGTGCTGTGGCCTGCTGCCCACCCCTACCCAGGCTCTGCAATCCCTCCCCACTCCAGGACACCCATGGCCCCAAAGGCAAACAGTGCTAGACAATAGGCCAGTCTGGCAGGCCTCCAGGACCCAGGCTGTGTGTTCCAGCCACAGGGCAGATACAAACACGGCTTGCTCCTGACTCTCTTCTGAGCTGTCTGGTAGGGAGGTGTTGGCTTTCCTTTACCCACTGGGTCTGCTGCCTGAGGAAAGGGAAAGTATGGGCAAACGTGCCACATTAAAGGGGCCTCTGGTGCTGTGGATCTCCTGGGGCTCCAACGTAGCAACAGAAAAACCTTAGATGGAAGCTGGGACAGTGGGGAGCGAGGGCTGGACTGCTAGGCTTCTGAGTTCATGCAGAAAGCCCCCAGCAGCAGCCTGTGGAGTGTGGGATGGGGAGGGGAACTGAGGAGGAGAAGTGACTCCCATGGGGATCTTTGCCAAAGGAGCAGGAGATGAGACTGGAACCCCACAACTTTCTGTCCATGCTACCTGGGTTCTGTTATCTGGACCAAGGTCTGTTTGTGGCTGATCTCCTCTTTATATAAACTTTGGTTGGGGTATCAAAGCTATTGGCCCTTGGATCTGCCTTGTCAGGTTCGCTCCTGCAGGTGCATCTGGTGGGGGAAGGCAGTACCCTAGTTGGGACTGGCACAGCACAACCCCCTCCCTGCAAGGTTTTGTTCAGCTGCTTCTGTGCTAGAGCGCTGGAGGGGAGAATGATGAAACGTGGCTTAGGCTTCGCCCTGTCTATAATCGAATCAGAGTTTGAGAGCCAGAAGCTGCCTCAGCCATCCTCAGTTCCCATATTGCACTGATGAGGGATGCAAGGCCCCGAGGAAGTCTGGTCATGCATCATTCCAGGGTCCCTCGAGCACTTTCTTCCCATGATGCTCCATCCGATGCCATATATCCCCAGTGCATACTGTTTGGTTGTTGGATGTGGTGAGTTACTTACTAATAAGCCCCGAGGCCCCCCTGCCTTCCCTGTGACAGCACCTTGCTAGGCACTCTCTGGAGGAGTCCTCTTCTTGTGCTGCAGGCACTGCGCACAGCCCACCACCAGTCTCTGCAGGCGCTGGCAGAGTTATGGCCCTCCCTGTCCTCTAGAAGCTTTAGAGGTGCATAAGGAGACAGGATGTGCCTATGTGATGCATTCGATGCACAGAACAGAGACAGTGTGACAGAAGGAGTGTATGCATGTGTCCACTCAGGGCAACAGGCCCTGATCTGTACCAGGAGTGTGCAGTGGGGAGAGGTGCTGTGACTGGGAGCCCAGAGCATAGGAGCTGGGCGCTGGGCTGAGGGGGTGGGTCAGACAGGGCAGGCAGCTCTGTGCCCTGTGGCACCATGGCCCAGGTCAGACCTCAGCTTTCATTTCTCTAATCTGATCCTTGGGGGTGGTAGGGCAAGCTCCTGTGCCTAGGGATATCTGTCTGGAAGACTTCCTTCCTGACTCAAGTGGCATATCAGAAGCTGGGTCCCCAGAGCCAGGGCCCAATGTCAGGCTTGCCTTTGGGCCCCTCCTTGGGCCCTGCTACCCCCAAATAGGCCCAAGACCCCAGGATACAGGAAATAGCACCTTGCTCAGCAGAGGATGTGCCTTCCAGGAGAGCCAGGCCATCTCTGAGGGGAGTCACACACATGAGGTTTGTTTTGGAAATAGGCATCTATCTCTTTGATTACCAGAAATCCTTGGGTTTAGAATTGAATTCAAAAAGGGGAATGGGGTCTGTTGGAAAGAACCTAGGCCACAGCATTGGTAAGCCTGAGTTCTAGCCCCAGATTTGTCACACCAGCTGTGTGACCTTGAGCCAATTCATCTCTGAGCCCCATTTCTTCATTTGTGAAATGAAAGTGGTTGGTTGTCATTTAGAAGTATGGTCTACAGAGTTAATTTAACTACAGAACTATCCATAGTCTTTCTAGGTATATGTGTAAATAAGTATGTAGCTATGGACGTGTCTGCCTGCCGGTCTATCACCTATCTCCTGGCCTTTAACAGATGTCTTCTCTTCAGGGATTCTCAGAGACCTTAATATACCTGTGTCGTTTGTGATTCTCCGAGAGGATGACATGGTGGTCTGTTTCCCAGTTTGTTTGCCCTGGGCTGTGGAATCTCATATTTTACAAAGCACCTCAGTGAATTCTACTTGCTGGAACACTTTTTGGGAGATCCCAGGTTAAGGGATCTTACAGAGGTTTTCATCGATCTATTTTAAGATAATGCCAACTGCCAAATCTGCTGTCTCCTGTCTCTGCCATAGGTGAAGCACGGGCAGGGGTCAGATCATGTGTCCTCCTTTATGACAGCCGGCCCTAAGGCTGGGGGTTGAATGGAGGATGCAGTATGTATTTCAGATGTGTGCTAAAACTTCTTATAGGTTCATGTATATGTAAATATGTATGAATGCATGGACGCATGTATATGAGAATGCATGCATGTATGTGTACATGTGTGCAATCATGCCTATGTGTGTATACATTTGTGTTCATACACAGGTGTACCTGTTATAAATGGACACCCAGGGCCACCTTGCTCACCTGGACCTGGAAGCACCTGAGGGAGTTGAAGGTAGACATGCACTTAGAGCCAAGGGAGGTCCAGGAGAATTTGTTGCTGTCTCATTGATTCTAAGTGCAACACGCCCCTCCCCAACTCGTGCATTGGCTCCTTGGAAGCTGCTAGAAAGAGGTGGATGAGTGATGAAATACAGGCATTTTGGAGAGGCAAACTGATTCTCTGCAGGTATTTTCTTTAGCATCCAGGCTGGCCTTTTCTCCAAGGAAGGGGGATTTATCTGACCACAGAGAAACGAGGAGTCCCCGGGGATAGGAAGCTAGGCTGGAGTGGCTATTAAAGTTCTTCCCAGCCTGTTTGAGGCCAGGAATTTGGGACCTCTTTGCAATCTGTATCTGAGAAAAACAAGATGGCACACCGAGAAGTAGTGTGATTGAAGAGGGAATATTTACAAGGTACAGGCAGGGCTAACAGAGGTCTCCAAGAAGCAGAGAAGCACCTTGGGACTTGCACAGTTGGAAACTGTCAGCACCCTTAGGCCAGAGGGGCAGGGGTGGGGGGGCACCACTACTAAAACCAGCACACCTGTGCTGTCAGAGAAGGATGCCTGGTGGGCAATGCTAGGAGGAGACTCCTGCAGCCATTGCCAAGCATGTCTGGGCCAGGAGGGAACCAGAGTGTGCCAACACCTTCCCACTCACACCCTGATCTACCCGTGTGGTGTCTACCCTTAGCTGATCTTCAGGGAGCAAGAGTAAATCAGTACCTCATAGGCTCGGCCTTTCTCAGAATAGGTGGATCAGGCAACCAAAGCCAAAAGGAGAATATCCATTGGGGGACCCAGAGCCTGAGAAAG